AATGTGAGAAATTGATGTCAAACGTCTTTAGACTTGTGTGTTCTTGACATATTTTGACATAACTCTCTTTCAGGTAAATGTTATAGAGATTCACCTAATTTACCAATTTTAAACATAGATACTGCCGTCGCATCACATATTTCGCGAGTTCTGCGTAAAAACTTGTGCTGGTACCTTCCTGTCACTTTGACATGGTCTTGAGCTCAAGTTTGTGAGTGTGTGCAGCTTCAACAAAGACTCAAATACAAATAAATAAAGTTGTAAAATACAAATAGTAATTAATTTAGTCGTTTTTTGTTCTTTGAGTTATTTTCGTCGTTAGTTGTGTAGTTGTGTGTCATTTAAGACGTGCAGCCGACTACCGTTGTATGTACTTCCGTATTTTGGAAGAGTTTACCAGTTGCGTCGTGAAGTCCGTCCGGTAGTCAGAGTCAGTGTGTGAAAGTTCGTCGTAGTTTTCTGTGTGCTGTACGGTGAGTATATATCCGGTCCAATCGAGCTACAAAGCTACAGCTACAACTTCTTAATACGGTTTCTTTCTAATTCTGGAAAAATCCGGGTGGCGGGACTCTGCCTCGTTGGAGAAGTTACAAACTTCTCTTGATAGGTTATGGTTCTCTCGATTGTTCGCAGACATTTGGACCTCAGAAGAAAATATGGCAGACAGTGGCAGTGATAGTGAACCTGATCAGCCCGAAGCTCAGCAGCAGGGCGCTGCTGCTCCACGTCAACGACGTGCGGTAAGTTATTTGTGTTGGGAACATTTCTTACAATTTTGTTATTTAGGGAATGTTCAGTTTTTAAAACATTTTTTTGCCATAACTTTGACTATTTAACAATCCGCAATGGATACTTCATTATTTTGATCACTTGTAGCCCAGGGACCAGGCTCACGCTAGGGCTAGGGCCGTAGAGTTGATGCAACTCGTTGAGGCTAGGGAGGAGGCTCGACAGCTCAGTGAGTCGGAGCAGTCAAGTTCTGAATCTGATGAAAGTATGGATGGCAATGAATTAGAAGCTGCAGATGGAGTTGCTGATTTAGATATTGAAATAGAAGCTCTGAATGATCCCGCAAATGAAGTTCCTGATAATTTAAATGATGTTGAATTAGAAGTGGAGGACAGTGATGGAGATGATCATGATAGTGAAGATGGAGAAAGTGAAGCAGAGGATGATGAGGATAGTGGTAGTGAAGAAGAATATGACGGGCCAGTTGGAGGGGATCCAGTTGACCTCGATTTATTTTTATTGGAGTCTTTGAGAGCATGGGCGAGAAGAGGAGTTTCAGGAACTAAAGTTGATCAATTGCTATGTGTGTTAAAGATTGTCCACCCTTTTCTCCCCATGACTCGCAAGACTCTTTTGCAAACCCCACCGGCTAATAACGATATAAATGATGTTGGTGGTGGTCAGTTCTGGTATAAGGGAATCATGCGTAATATTGAATCACGTATCGACCTTCAATACTTGAATAGATATAATGAAGTTGTCGTGGATATCAACATAGATGGGATTCCCCTTTACCGTAGCAATTCAGCTCATTTCTTTCCAATTCTTGGGTGCTTTCAGGGGCAAGAGGAGCCATTTATAATAGCTGTGTGGTATGGCCCTGACACAGAACCAGATGATTTAGATGGATTTTTTCAAGACTTTACTGCAGAGGTGCAACTGCTACAGAATGAAGGTTGTAGACTATTTAACAACAATTATCCATTTAGGATCAGGAGATATATCCTTGATGCAGTTGCACGCAATTTTGTTAAGTGCATTATTAAATATAATGGACGATGTTCATGTGAAAAATGTGAAGTGGTTGGCGTTTGGTTCAGAAATAGGATGACATATACAGATTTAGATGCTCCCCTACGGACAGACGAGTCATTCAGGAATAGGAACCAGCCACTCCATCACATCGAGGGTTTAGTGTCTCCCCTTGAAGCTATAGGGACAGGAATGGTCTCTATGTTTGTTCTGGATGGCCTCCACTTAGTTTATTTGGGAGTTTTTAAAAGGTGGCTGCTGCATATTTTGATTGTACAGGGGCCATTTCATCTTGATGACGAGGAATTGATCAGTGTGAATGAAGCATTACAGCAGATTAAAGAGTGGACGCCAATTGAGTTCAATAGGAAACCTCGCCCCCTGAAGAGGACCGCTAATCATTTGAAGGGACATGAACTTCGTAGGCTAGTTCTTTATGATGGAATTAAGATATTTCAAAATCTAGATGAGAATTTGTACAATAATTACCTTCTGCTTCACTCAGCATTGTACATTCTGAGTAGTACTCACTTGAGAGATCTAATCCCGGTTGCCCACGGCTTACTGAGACAGTTCATTAGACATGCACGTCAAATTTTCACTCGGGCCTTTGTGGCTTACAACGTCCATTCCTTATCACATCTTGCAAACGAGTGTCAAACCAATGGGACTATTGATGAATTTTCAGCCTTTAGATACGAAAACTTTCTGGGTGTCATGAAGCATTGTTTGAGATCTGGCTACTTACCTCTTCAGCAGATTATTAACAGAGATACAGAAACTGATGGGCATCTTACCAACCCTACTGATCCTATAAATCCGGACGAAGTCACTCTTAGCAGGGAGCATGTTAGATTTGGTGAAGAACTCGTTGAAGGTACTCAGTACCAAATGCTGCAAACTGGTTACATCACCCTTCAGCTCCATGACAAAAACTCCTGCTTTGTGACATCTGCATCTGATGTTGTCATTCTTTCAAATATTGTCAGATCAAACAATAGAGGAATAGTTCTAATAGGCCGCAAATTTCAAATGAAGGATCATGCCTACAATTTCCCTATGGACTCGACTCTTCTTGGTATATTTAAAGTTTCAAATCTTGAAAATGAGAGAAGAGTATGGCATATTGATCAGTTGTCCCAGAAATGTTACCTTATGCCTGATGGAGACTCTTATATTGCTGTCCCCCTTGTTCATTTTCACCGCCAATAGTAGACTCACCCCAATCAATCAATCTTCATAATTCTAATTTTCATATGCTCTGTTTTGTTTTCAATTTTTTCAATTTAGTTTTCTGTGGTTAAATTTACAAAAGAAGATTCGATTGAAGCAGTTCCAACATGCTGGCTAACAACTGATGAAAAAGAGTGCTACTGGCCGCCAAAAGGGATTAAAACACAAGTCAGTCTCTTAATTGGTGACCAGGCTATTCCCGACTCTCAATCCTGGAGTCTTGAACCAATTGAACTTCTTCACGATTATGGTAATGTCAATATTATTTTATTAGAATCTCCTTTTTTTACATTTGATCATTGTTTCTGGAACATTATTTTACTGGTATATATTTTCTTTTCAGGGTCAATCTACATTGCCAGAGCCAATGCCAAGAAGCTTGAGAAACATGATGATGGACTGTCTACAGAGCAATCTGATCATGGGACAAGGAAAAAGAGGAAAATTAGGAAACCTGGCAGATTTGAGCAAAGTGAAGACGACAAATCTCAACCTGTAGTTAAGAAAAGATCTAAACAACGAAAAAGAAGAAAACTGAGTACTGACTCAGAAGCCGGTGATTCTATACCAGCAGCTGATACTGTACAAGTTGAGGAGCTTGAAAAACAAGTGCAAAAAATTGTCGCTCAGAGACAAGTTTTGCAAAGTAAGAGTGACAAATCAGTTCGTGTATCTTCTCATGGAAAAAATTTAGTGGTTAATTATGGTGCCTCCACCTCAAAATCAGGTATACAAGATGCTTGACTTTTAATGTTCTTTGTTTTATAATGTGTTCGCAAATTTTTATTATTACTCACTGGTCCATTGTTGCTTTCAGCATCTTCAATTAAATCATCTACCGACCCTAAGTCAAGTAGAGGGAGTTCTAGCTCAAATATATCCGGTAACTATTTCTGGAATTGTTTGATTTTGAGTTTGTGTATGCTGTAGTATTAATTTTAGTTGTTTGATTTTAGAAAGTGTAAAGCAGACTAGGCCTTCTCATTCAATGGGTTCTCAACTAAATCCTTTACCCTTAGTGTCTAAAAAGACTGTTTCTAATGGTACTTTAAATGCCAATAAGTCTGCATCATCCTTATTCGATTTAGGTTAGTATACCTTTTTATTAAAAATATCTTCTGAAAACGGTCTTTATTGTTACCGTTGGCTAGTAATTACTTTTCGTCTGTCATTTCAGAGGGATCCAAAACTATTATTCGCAATAAGGTGAATGCAGATTCCAGGGTTGAATCTGTTCCTTCAACCCCTATAGGTAAAACTGCCTGCTTTGTTTATGAGTCCTTAGCAGTCCAGATTAATATTTTTGTCTATGGCTTATAAAATATTTTGTCGCTCCTTTTGCTTCTCTACTTTAGACCTTAGCAGTGATACTATAATCAATGACGATATTCCTGAAAAGGGTTTGGATGAGAATGTTCATGACACTGGATTTCTGTCATCACAGGATAATTTTATCGGTGAAGGTAAAGTTTATGTGTGTTTTTAGTTTATTTAATGTTCATCTCTTCTCTGCTAATATTCGATTTTGTTTATTTTGTGCTTTAGATTCTTTTCTGGATGATGAGCCAGCACCCACTGCTGTGGTACCCACGTCAAGGCGCTTGTCACCACCATGCCATAAGACATCCAGCTTGCTCGCTGTATCTGCAGAGAGCGCACAAGCCAGTGTGGAATGTATGTTAAAACTGTAAATGTTACATTTTAATCTATCAATTATGAGTATTTAATGTGAATTTTTTTTTGCAGTGAATCCATCAATCTCCCAGATTATCTTAGAAAAGTTAGAAGTTGTATTGAAGAACGAGAAAGTTCTCCTTGCTCAACAGAGGCGATTAATTTCATATGTTGTCCCAGAAGAGGACCTGGAAGATGCCGATTTTGAGGAACTGCCTGATTTTCCTCTGCACACTGTTGAAGAATTTTCTGATCTTGAGGCGTACCTTGCCCTCAAGACCAACAAGAAAACTCTGGTATGTAAATTGCACTTCTGTAGTCTAATTTATTTAGATTATTAGCATAAAACTGAACATAGATTATATTTTGCAGGTGAAATACTTGCTTGCTGTTCCAAAAGACACTAGCGACGAAAGAAAGGCAACAGGGGACATGCTCAAGGATATGATTTCAAACAGACTTTCCCGCATAATAAGCTGGGGCTCCACTAAAGGTCAAAAATTAAGGTTTGATAAATCTAGAGTTTGTTCTGCAATCAAGTGTGCTATACTAAAACTTCTTCCCAACTCCAAACTTCGGAAGTGTGAACAAAAAATTCAGACGTGGTTTTGCACTAGCAACCAGCGCACAGTTAAGCCTAATGCTCCTGCTACTAAAACTTGAATTCTCCTTATAAAATGTATTTAAAGTTCCTATGATTCATCAATGTTCAGTATTCAGTGTTTTCTATTAATG